AAGGATTGGTTGTTGGGTATAATAGACATATCTGAAGTTAGATAGCCAGCAGTGCACACACCCGTCCAGTTAGCAGGCAGGCATGGGTAAGCAGTGGTCCCACACACGTCGAATATTCCTGCAGGGGGGCACCAGGGGGAGGTGGTGTTTTCAGCCTTGAGAGTGGAGTTGCCTAGATCATCTGCGAGGCAACCTGTTGGATGCTGGCCCTGGGTACTGTCCAGTAGACCTGTCTTTTCCGTATACAGAGCTTTACTCCAGTGTAGCAGTAGCTCCCCTGATAAGAGGAAAGACTTAATAGTGTCATCCTGGGTCCTGGTTAAGCAGGAGCAGGACGGATATGTAGTTGCAAGGGAGAGTGGGAACATACAGGCTATGATTAAGGGAAGTATGTTATTCCCCCTATTCCTGTTCACTGGGGGTCCACAGCAGTGAACCGCTAGAACGGAGAGTAGCATAATAAATATTCCTGCAAGGCAAATGTAGCCAAGGATGGCATGACAAGGAGTGGTCCAGCAATTCATGATGAGGCCTTCGTTTCCTTGCTGTGGTGCATGCAGCTGGGGAGAATTTTCAAGATCTGGGGTCACCTTCCACTCGGACTGATGGCACACGTCTACTGGCAATGAATTCCCTCAACATTTGTTTGTCTGAGAAAGTCTTTATTTCTCTTTCACTCTTGAAGGATATTTTCACAGAGTACAGAACTTGAGGTTAGTGGTTTCTCTCTTCAAAAGAGAGTTCCCAGTGACTCTTGCAAAAATGAGTATTTAGTTAAAAGCCAACCCTGCCTCCAATTTAATCAGGCTAATGAAATTGTAATTTCACAGTATTATTTTTTCTTAACATTAATTCTGGGAAAATATCAAAAGGTGTTCAAGCAGTTTTAAACTTCTAATGTTTTTCACTTTTCACTACTCCTTTAACATTTCAAAGAGCTACTTTAGTCATTTTAAACGACTATTTTGATATTCTTAAGGGACATGTACATTTCAGAAAATGGGAAAAACCAAAGTGAAGGAAAATAATACTGCAATCTATTGTCCCAGAAAGGACACTTTCGATTTAGATGCACAGCTTTCAGATATTTTCAACTTTAAAAAATGGGATTATTCTTGTGGTAAAGTTTGATGAATTTTTCACTTATATTCTAGGAAATTTTCTGTCAATTCAACTTAGCTTCTTACATGACAATTTAAAAAAAAATAAGAAAACAGATGTTTAATTTGTTGATGTCTTTCACACTCAGGGTCTAAATGTGAGACCAACAAGTTACGTCCCGATCATTGCAACAAACCTGGGCAAAGCATCTACCAGAAACCAGTTTCTGCAGCACGAAAAGGTCCCACAGGAAAGAGAGGCTGCACGAAAAATGCACTCCTAAAGAAACCCAAGAAAGTGCATCCAGGGAAGAAGAAGGCTTTAAAATGTAATGACTGTGGGAAAACCTTTAGTCAAAGCTTGTCTCTGAAACTTCATCAGAATTCCCACACTGAAGAGAGACCTTACGAATGTAGTCATTGTAGCAAAGCCTTCAGACAGGTCTCATCCCTCCTCCTCCATCAGAGAATTCACAACGGAAAGAAAAGCCACGAATGTGATGAATGTGGGGAAAGCTTCACGCAAAGGACCTCGCTGCTTCTGCATGAGAAAAGTCATGGTGGAAAGGGAACCTTTGACTGTGGGAAGGCCTTGAGTCCGTGTCCAACCCTCAGGACACATCAGAAAACTCGCCTTGATGAAAATGCCCACCAGTGCAGGAAACATGGGAAATCCTTCATTCGAAGGTCATCCCTTTCACTTCATAGGAAAATCCACAAGGGAAAGAAAATCCATGAATGCGGTAAATGTGGGCGAGGCTTCCGAAAGAAATCAGTCCTTGTTCTACATAAAAGAGTTCATACTGGAGAGAAAACTAATGAGGGTGAGAAGGCCTTGAGGCAGCAGAGCAGCCACCATTTAGAGAATCCTTATAAATGTAGAAAATGCGGGAAATCTTTTAGTAGGATCTCATCCATCATGCTTCATCAGAGAATTCATGCTTCGGAGAAACCCTACAAATGCCCTAAGTGTGAGAAGGTGTTCCAGCGGCTTTCAACCCTTATCCTGCATCTAAAAATTCACAGTGGAGAGAAACTGTACAGGTGCAATAAATGCGAGAAGGTCTGTCACCGGCATTCATCCCTCATTCAACATCAGAAAGTCCACACGAGGAAAAAGAAACTCTTTGAATGTAAGGAATGTGGGAAGATGTTTTCTGAAACTGCCAACCTTAAAATACATCAGAACATTCATTCTGAAGAGAAGCCTTTCAAATGCAACAAGTGTAGTAAAGTTTTCGGCCGCCAGTCATTTCTTATCGAACATCAGAGAATTCATACCGGAGAAAAGCCGTACCAGTGCGAGGAATGTGGGAAAGCCTTCAGTCACCGGATATCTCTCACGCGTCACAAGAGAATCCACACGGAAGACAGGCCGTATGAATGCGATCAGTGTGGCAAGGCCTTCAGTCAGAGCGCGCACCTCGCCCAGCACGAAAGGATCCACACTGGAGAGAAACCGTACACGTGCAAGACCTGCGGGAAGGCCTTCAGTCAGCGCACTTCCCTTATTCTGCACGAGAGAAGTCACACAGGAGAGAAACCCTACGAATGCAATGAGTGTGGGAAGGCCTTCAGCAGTGGCTCGGACCTCATCCGGCATCAGAGAAGTCATTCCTCAGAGAAGCCCTACGAATGCAGTAAATGTGGGAAGGCGTACAGCCGGAGCTCATCCCTGGTTCGACATCAGAATACACATGCAGAAGAAAAGGCCTAAGGGTGTTAACAAAAGCAAAGACTGAGTCTCAAAGGAGCAGATGCAGAGGCAGGGGGGAAGTGCATTGGTCTCTAACATACATTTTGTAGAAATGGGGCCGTTAGATGATGCTTCCCCCTTTGAAAGCCAAAGGGCAAAAGTCCTTGATGACTTTGACCTAAGAATCTGAAGTCAGCTGAGGCAGAGACCTTATCATAGGTCTTCATTAAGCTCAGATGGTTGGATCGGTCCTTTTTCATAAAGACAATTCTTCATTTGAAAAGAATCACTGATATTTTATTCCCAATGTAGTTTTCCTTTATATGTTTTGGTGTTTTAAATATATTTTTTACTTCAGAGAGGAAGGGAGAGGGAGAGAGAGATAGAAACATCAGTGATGAAAGAATCATGGATCAGCTGCCTCCTGCACGCCCCACACTGAGGATCGAGCTCACAACCCAGGCATGTGCCCCTGACCGGGAATTGCACCCTGACCTTCTGGTTCATAGGTGGACCCTCACCAAATGACCCACACCAGCCAGGCTCCAATGTACTTTTAAAGTTATTTTAAAGTGGAATTGTAGCTATTTCATTGGTCACATTCAACAAAGTGGAACTGTCCATTTTTTGGATGGGGCTTTGAGCCTGATTTAACGTCACATGAAGAGTTGGGTTGGTCCCCGTAGAATGAGAACTATCACATGTAAGGAAGGGACTTTCTGGAAAACCAGGGTACCACTCTCAGCTGACAGACATTTTTGGGTGATCATAACGAAGAGTGAATCCTGGAGCGGATAAAGATGACACACTTAACAAGCCTCACGGCTAATGAAGGAAAGGAAAACATGACATACTGAAGAATGAGGAACTTCAGAGCAGAGAGAAATTACTTATTTTATTTGAAAAAAAAACTTGTCTATATTTATATGAATAAACATCAGTATTTTCATGTAAGAACACTGGTGTGCAATAAGTAATTGTTGTAGAATGGATTCTCATGGACTGAATGTGTCTCCCCCCCAAATTCATATGTTGAAGTCCAACCAAACCCCCCATGTACTGGTCTTTGGAAATGGGGCCTTTGAGAAGTAATGAGGGTTAGAGGAGGACAGGAGGGTGGAGCCGTCATGACAGGATTTGTATCTTAACCCTTTGTGGTCCAATTTTATTTTTGGAATTCAAACAGTCTGGTCCAAATTAATTGACGGGATTGAATGTTGAACTTTTTAATGTTCTTATTTTAAAGTTTAAACCAAAAATTCACTGGTTATATTATTAAGTATGTTCAATCAAAGAGTTTATTCTTTAAAACATTTCATAGTGTGGTATCTTTTTTTAAAAAATATATTTTATTGATTTTTTACAGAGAGGAAGGGAGAGGGATAGAGAATGAGAAACATCGATCAGGTGCCTCCTGCACACCCCCCACCGGGGATGTGCCCGCAACCAAGGTACATGCCCTTGACCGGAATCGAACCTGGGACCCTTGAGTCCCCAGGCCGACGCTCTATCCACTGAGCCAAACTGGTCAGGGCAGTGTGGTATCTTTTGAAACATTTCCCCACATGCAACCCGGCACCTTACTGACAATGCATATAATCACAGCGGTTTGCAGTGTCAACCTCAGCTCCACGTTGGACCTGCTCCTAGCGCCTGGTCTGTCGAGTCAGCCTGGACGTTGGACCCAAAAGGGTTAAAAAGTAAGAGCACCAGGGAGATTCGCTTTCTCTCTGCCAGGTCAGGACACAGGAAGAAAGACCAGTGTCTACAGCCAGGAAGCATTCCACCATGTTGGCTCCCTGATCTAGGACTCAGCCTCCTGAACCCTGAGGAATGAGTTTCTTTTGGTTGAAGCCACCCAGTCTGTGGTATTTTGTTATGGCATCTTGAACGGACTAACACATGGGGAAAACCCTGGATTTCTGTACCAGGCTCCTCCTGGGAACTGTTCACCATAATGGCTTTGTCTCCTCCTAGCTTGTGCTGCATACCTAAGGCAGAATCAGAGAGAGTTCTTTCTTGTAAATTGGTCATATACAGTTGGATGCTTCTCTGTGCATTTTCCCTCTGCAAAAGCTGTTGTGTGTTTTTTTTAAAATGTTTTATTGATTTCACAGAGAGGAAGGGTAGAGGGAGAGAGCGAAACATTGACAAGAGAGAAACATTTGCCCTGGCCGCTTTGGCTCAGTGGATAGAGCGTCGGCCTGCGAACTGAAAGGACCCAGGTTCGATTCCGATCAAGGGCACATGCCCGGGTTGGGGCTCGATCCCCAGTGGGGGACTTGCGGGAGGCAGCCAATCCATGATTTTCTCTCATCATGGATGTTTCTATCTCTCCCTCTTCCTCTCTGAAATCAATAAAAATATATTTTTAAAAAAGAGAGAGAGAGCCAGAACCAGTTTGGCTCAGTGGATAGAGCGTCGGCCTGTGGACTCAAGGGTCCCAGGTTCGATTCTGGTCAAGGGCATGTACCTTGGTTGCGGGCACATCCCCAGTGGGGAGTGTGCAGGAGGCAGCTGATCGATGTTTCTCTCTCATCGATGTTTCTGGCTCTCTATCCCTCTCCCTTCCTCTCTGTAAAAAATCAATAAAATATATTGAGAGAGAGAGAGAGAGAGAGAGAGAGAGAGAAACATCTGTCAGCTCCCTCCTGCACACCCCCTACTGGGGATTGAGCCTAAAAGCCAGCCATGTGCCCTGACCTGGAAGTGAAACAGTGAATTCCTGGAGCATGGGACAATGCTCAACCAACTGAGCCAGGCCGGCCAGGCTGCAAAAGCTATTTTTGAAAACACCCACATATTGTTACCTTTGTGGAACGTGTGAGCAGATGGGGTAGGTCACTGTAACTTGGGTCACAACTGACAGAAAACTTCATTTGTGAAGGACGATTTTTTTAAAATTTAAACTTGTCACATCAGTTCTGTAAAATAAGCAAATATCTCCAAGATCACCCTCGCCAGGTGGCTCGGTTGGAGCGTCATCCCATATACCAGCGGTTCTCAACCTGTCGGTGGCAACCCCTTTGGGGGTCGAACGACCCTTTCACCGGGGTCGCCTAAGACCATCGGAAAACACATATATAATTACCTATTGTTTTTGTGATGAATCACTATGCTTTAATTATGTTCAATCTGTAACAATGAAATTGGGGGTCACCACAACATGAGGAAATGTATTAAAGGGCCGCGGCATTAGGAAGGTTGAGAACCACTGCCATATACCAAAAAGGTGCGAGTTCGATTCCCAATCAGAGCACACACATAGCCAGGTTTCGGGTTCAATCCCCAGTCAGGGCAGTTACGGGAGGCAAATGATGGATGTTTCTCACATTGATGTTTTTCTCTGTCCCTTCCTCTCTCACAAATCAACAAACATACCCTTGGGTGAAGATAAAAAAAAATCTCGCAAGATCAATTTTTATTTATTATTCCATTTTTATGCTAACTTGCGTGTTTATTGTTCATTTTCTAAAGTGTTAGGGTCGAAATTGAAGTCGCTGATGTGAGAGTTTTATACCTTAGCAATTAGTGCTATATTTCCTTTTAAGTACAGTGTTAAACCCTTTGATATTCTGTGGTTTTTCATTCAAATACTTTCTGTTTTCCCTTCCTGGTATCTCTTGACTGATGGGTTGCTAAAAATTGGGCTATTTAGGTCCAAATATTTGCGGATTTTCCAGTTATGTTTGTTAGTGATTGCTAATTTAATCTGTTCTGGTCACTAAAACATTTTGTACGACTTGAACCTTTTTAAATTTGAGACGTTTTAAAGCCTACCATATGGTCTGCCTTGGTCAGTGTGCTTTGTGCATTTGAAGAGAATGTATATTCTTCCTTGGGTGGAATAGTTTCAAAGTGCCCATTAAGTCAAGTTCGCATGTAGTGCTGTCTAGGTTTTCAGTATCCTTGCTGATTTTCTGTCTCCTTATTCTGTTGAGAGATGCATGTCAAAGTCTCGTCATTGTGGATTTGTCTATTTCTCCTTAGAACGCTGTCAGTCCTTTCCGCAACTTCAGGTGATTTCCACGCACACACATCCTGTTCAGAATTCTAGCTAAAAACTAGAGTTCTTACTCTGGTAAAGATGCTGCAGATGTGTGTTGTTTTTCCTCTAAGAGCCCTGAGGCACTTTATCCTGTGAACTCCAACCACCTCAGCCTCTTCGTCTCCCAGCTCCATCGCCTCCACTCAGAGACCACACACAGCCTTGGAAATAACGCATGTGGTTCCCTAGGGGAATCATAGTCCCGTATTCCCCTCACTCATTTCCCATTTCCCATGGGCCTGTGACCAGTCTCATCAACACCAAGGTTTTATAGATTTTGTTAGTATTTCAGGTGGGAAGGTAAACTCTTCCCTCCAATTCCATCTTCACCGGAAGTGCAGATCTCATAGAGCATTTAGCGAGGGCAGGGACCACTGTGGGTCTAGGGTTTATATTTTTTTTTTAAAAAGTGTTGCGATTAACATTCTTCTACATACGCTTTTGTAAGGTTTTACCAGTATTTTTGGAGGATAAATGGGTAGATCACAAGATAGACATATTTTAACAGATATTGCCAACTTGCCTTTGCTCTTCAGACTAGGATCTAGAATGAAGGCTTCTTAGAGGAATTTTAAGCACCTTCATCCCACCATGTTGGGTTATATTAGTCTAGTTTTTCAGTGTTCCTTCTGCCTACATTTTCTCCATTGTGCTGTTCTTATCAGAGGGTAGAGTTCGCCAAAGATCCTGGCATGTTCTTTTAGTGTGGCCCTAACTGCTGTTTCTGTATTCTCCTTTTCAAGTGTGATATGAGGTGGTATCACTCCTATTTCAATGATGCTGGCATGTTTATATTTATTTAATTTGGCTTTCCCCGCCCCCTCCTTTTTTTTAGTAGAGGAAATTGGGTAAGATGGACTCTACCAGTATTCCATAGAGCCTCTGCAAGGCTAGAATTTTAATTTTGGAATGAGTAGAGTTCTACCTGGTCTATCTATTTTTCATGACCCTCTCTTTTATGCTTGTTTGGTGCCTTTACCCTCATTGGGAGATACACTGGGTGCTGTTTGTTAACTACAAAAGAAATTCTTGGTTTGGCCCAGGAAAATTCTGGTATTGACAAGCTGTCGTTCACAAAAGGTTCTGTAATTCATTTTTCTTCACTCAGCACATAGAAGCATCTCCTTTCATTTGCTTTTGCAGTGTAAATAATTCACTGGCTTAACTTGTATTTCTTCTGATCCTGCTGAGATTCAGTACTTACCACATGTTCATCAGTCACCTGTTGCCTCTTCATACCCTTTGCCCATGGCGGGAGGAAGTGCCATTTTCTAAGTGATTGTAGGAGCACTTGTGTGTTAAGAATATGAATTTCATGGGTTAATGATTCCAATTGTTTAAAACTTTTGTTTATACTGTCTTTGACTCTATACCTAATAAAGTTCTTACACAATCAAACCTAGAATCTTTGTGTGTGTGGCTTCTGGATTTCATGTCACTTAGGAAGATTGTTCTCACTCTATAAAGTATGTTCCCATGTCCTTTAATCACTGTTTCGCGTCTGGATAAAAAAAAATGAGGGGATAATATAATGAGGGGATCGTTTTGTGCAGAGCAGTCAGTTTGACGAAAACTGTTAAGCCACTGGCATGAAGTATCACCTTTATTATGTAGATCTTTATATGTATATCTGTTTGAATGTATATGTGTATGTTCACAGAGACAATCTTTCAAGCCTTAAGAAATTCTTATTAGGATTTTGTTAGGTACAAGGAATCTGTGGGTGAATATGGGCCTACTAACATCAGTGTAACACTGAGTCTTCCCCTGCAGAAGGACAAACGTCTACTCAAGTCTTTCACACTCTATTAACTTCCATCATTTTCTTTGTACCTGTATTCATGTGAGCTGGTTAATGCATTGACTGTATTCTCAAAGAGAACATAATATGAAATATAAAACAAGTCAGATATATGGGAACAGGGAGTAGTTTGAACTGTGGTGAACTGGAAAACACATTCCCACCTAAAGGTATTCAGATTCCTTTTTAATTTAATGCATACCATCCCTGGCTGAGTAGCTCAGTTGGTTAGAGTATAGTTCCGATACACCAAGGTTATGGGTTCTACCCCTGGTCAGGGCACATACAATAATCAACTAATGAATGCATAAATAAGTGGGACAACAAATCAATGTTTCTCTTTTAAAAAAATCTATAAATGAAGCCCTAACCAGTTTGTCTCAGCAGATAGAGTGTCGGCCTGGGGACTGAAGGGTCCCAGGTTCGATTCCAGTCAAGGGCATGTACCCAGGTTGCGGGCACATCTCCAGTAGGGGGCGTGCAAGAGGCAGCTGAATCGATGTTTCTAACTATCTCTCTCCCTCTCCCTTCCTCTCTGTAAAAAATCAATAATATATATATATATTTTTAAAAATCTATAAATTTAAAAAAAACAACTTGATGCATGCCACATCAAATATGTTTGTAAGCAGCCAGTTTATGAGTATCGATCTATATAGTATTGGTTTCTTTCCACCTCTAGTTTTAGGATTACAGCTTAGAAGCTCAACTTTTTCTATTTTAAATGGCATAGGTGTAAAACAATGCATCCCCCTGGAATTAGGAGCAGGGGTCAAACTTACCCTTTATTTTTCAAGTTTCTTTTAACTATCTTTTTGCCTTTAAATGGAAATGAAGACTGCATCTCAGTAAGTAAATTCTACTTATCGCAAGTTGGTTTTTAAAATCTGACTGCTTAGAATTAATATGTAGTGAAGTTAATTTTTCTTACCAACGAAGTCATATTCCTAGTCATGCTGAAATAGCAGCCACCATCTTACTCTCTATTATCATGTACTTGAACATCAATCCTACTGTATTAGATACCCAGGTCACCCACCCACCTTTAGAACAATGACCACTGTTCCTAATCAATAATCTCTACTACCTGAGATGAGCTGCTGCATTTGCTCTTTCTCAGCTAATCATTGTTAAGATGGTCATGTTTTCTTTGAATACCACAGTATCTTTTTATTTTACAGTTTATTGAGAGACTACTTTATGCTAGGCTATCTGCCGGGCCATTTACATGCATTTAATGTTTGCATTAACATTTTTGTTGTTAATTCTCACCCAAGGATATTTTTCCATTGAGTTTTAGAGAGAGTAAAAGGAAAGAGAAACATCAATGTGAGAGGGACATTGATTGGTTGCCTCCCGCACACGCTCCGACCGAGGCTGGGGATCAAGCCTGCAACTGAGGTATGTGCCCTTGACCAGAATTGAACTCACAACCTTTCACTCTGCAGGCCAATGCTCTAACCATTGAGCAAAGCGGCCTAGGACCCATTAACTTTCGAGGTAGTACCATTATTATTTCTATAATATAAAACCGAAGCCCTAACCGGTTTGGCTCAGTGGGTAGAGCGTCGGCCTGCGGACTGAAAGGTCCCAGGTTCAATTCCAGTCAAGGGCATGTACCTTGGTTGCAGGCACATCCCCAGTGGGAGGTGTGCAGGAGGCAACTGATCGATGTTTTTCTCTCATCGAAGTTTCTGACTCTCTATTCCTCTCCCTTCCTCTCTGTAAAAAAATCAATGAAATATATTAAAAAAAACAAACAAACACTGAAGATTACAAATGACAAAATGTTTCTCCAAAATTGAGGGCTAAAGAAGGGAAGAGCAAGGATTAGAACCAAGATCTATTTAATGCGGGCATGAGTTCTTAATTCTGGATAAGTCTTCAGAGAATGAGATGGATATTGGCATGAGATGGGGCTTTGTAAGGTAGACTGGAACGAGGTATTGAGGGAAGTTATTTTAGGCTATTTTGAGGACACTGTGCTTTAACCTAAGAACTATAGGATGCCAGGAGGGGTTTTAATGAGAGGAGTGATATGATCAAACTATTTTTAATAGGTTTGTCTGCAGTGTGACAACTGACAAAGTAAGTGGTCAACACAGGAATCCAGTTAGGAAGTTATTTCCATAGACCATGTCAAGGAGATGATTGTGCACTGGATGAAGGTGATGGAGTGGAAATGATTAAAGGAGTGAGATTCAAGGCATATTTAGGAGATAAAACCTATAGCTTTTGGCAAATGGCTGGACATGGAGGGTGAGGAAGAGGAGAGACTCAAGAAAGACTCCATAGCGTGAATTCTCTTGTGATGAGCCAAGTGTGCACGCTGCCTGAACGATTTCCTGCAGTCCTTACATTCGTAGGGTCGCTCTCCAGTGTGAATTCTTTGATGCAGGGTAAGAGAGCCACTGTAGCTAAAGGCTTTCCCACACACGTTACATTCGTAAGGTTTCTCTCCAGTATGGATCCGCTGGTGCTGAGCAAGGCCTGCATTCTGGCTAAATGTTTTCCTGCACTCCTTACACATGTAAGGTTTCTCTCCCGTGTGACTCCGCTGGTGTTGTGCCAGCGACGAACTATTGCTGAAGGCCTTCCCACATTCAATGCATTCATAGGGTTTCTCTCCAGTATGGACCCTCTGGTGCTGATCGAGGTATGCGATCTGGCTGAAGGCTTTCCTACACACCTTACACTCATACGGCTTCTCTCCAGTGTGGACTCTCTGGTGCTGAGCCAGGTGTGCGTACTGGCTGAAGGTCTTCCTGCATTCCTTACACTCGTAAGGTCTCTCTCCGGTGTGAATCCTCTGATGCACGATTAGGTAACCACGATGGCTAAAGGCTTTCCCACACACATTACATACGTAAGGTTTCTCCCCTGTGTGAATCCGCTGATGCTGAGCAAGAAACGAACCGTTACTAAAGGCCTTTCCACACTCAATACATTCGAACGGTCTCTCTCCAGTGTGAATCCTCTGGTGTTGCGTCAGGTGTGCAATCTGGCTGAAGGCTCTCTTACACTCGTTACACTGGTAAGGTTTCTCTCCAGTGTGAACTCTCTGGTGCTGAGCGAGGTGTGCGTTCTGGCTGAAGGCTTTCCTACATTCCTTACATTCGTAGGGCTTCTCCCCGGTGTGTATTCGCTTATGTTGAGCCAGGTTTGCACTCTGGCTGAAGGTTTTCCCACATTCAACACAGGCATAGGGTTTCTCCCCGGTATGAATTCTCTGGTGAAGAGTAAGGGATGAGCTCTGGTTGAAAACTTTCTCACACTCATTACATTTCAAAAGTTTCTTTTCTACATAGACTTTCTTAGGCTTCATGTCCACAGATTTTTTGCGGTATTTTCTCTTTTGTGGCTCATGCTTATGTGTTCTTTCTTTGGTGGGAAAACCCTGTTTTATAGCAAATATTGCATCCTGGTGGAAAGTTTGCCAAGATTTAGTACATTCACTACTTTGATCTTCAGTAAGGATTTCCTTATGCGTGATGATCAGTTGACTAGGATGTACCTCCTTACTTTGCAACTTGTTGTTAAACCAGTCCCCACTTTCATAGTCTTCTATCAAACTGGGGCAATCAAGGCTGTAACTAAGATGGCTTCTTCCTGTTGTCACTACTTTGGATGATTCTTCATAAATAACTTGCTTTGATGAAAATTCACTGTTTTTAAATGCATACTCCCAATCTAAAAGATAGTAAGAAAATAGTGTGTGTTTATGCAGAAGAAAAGAACTTTTAAAACAAAAATCAGTGAATAAAATACATAAGAACTTAAGAGAGTTGATTAAAACATAAATTCTTCATATATAGTCAGTAAGGTAACTATTAGAAAAATTAAATATCCCAGGAATGCAAGGTTGGTTTAATATGTGAAAATCAATGAATGATCATTACATCAGCACATTAAAGATGAAAAATCATATGATCATTTTAATAGATGTAGAAAGAGTATTTTACTAAATTTATTTGTAAAATTTATCAGCAAACCAGGAATAGAAATGAACTTCCTAAAATTGAGAAAGGGCATCTAAGCAAACTAACATCAACTAAATGGTGAAAGACTGAATACAGTTCCCCTTAAGATTGAGAACAATGCGAGTATATGTGCTCTTACAAGTGGTACAATTCAACATTGTACAGGAGACCCAAGCTATTATACTAAATCAAGAAAAACAAGGCATAAGGATCAGAAAGGAAGAAAGAAAACTGTTTGGCAGATAATATGATTGTCTCTGCAGAAAATGCTCAACTACTAGATGAATCTAGCTAGGTTGTAAGATAGTTCATATAATAATCACTTTACATTCTTACATACTAGCTGCAAACAACTGGAAGATGGGAGTTTTTAAGAATTCTATTTATAATTATAGCACACCAAAATAAGACTCAGAAAAATATTTTAAAAAATTTTTAAACCACTACACTGGATGACTATAAAATATTGCTAAGAGAAAGAAAACCTTAACAAATGGCTAAAGGAACCATACTCATGAACTGGAAAACTCAATGATGTTAGGATGTCAATTCTTCCCCAAGTTGATGTAGATGTATCGTAATCCCAAGTGAAATCCCAGCAGGCTTTTTGAATAGATTATCTGATATCTGAAAGCTACAGATATCAAGACGGTATGGTACTGGTGAAAGGACAGATGTAGATCAATGGAACAGAAGAGAGTTCAGAACTAGACCCCTGCATTTATGTTCAATTGCTTTTCAACAAGGGTACCAACAAAGCAATACAATGGGAAAAGGAAGGTCTTTACAACAAAGAGTCCTGGAATAACTGAACATCTAAAGGGGGGAAAATGAACCTCAGTATTTATCTCACCCAAGAAATTAGCTCAATGGATCATTACCCAAATGTAAAAATTAAAATAGAACATTCCTAGGGGGAAAAAATAGAAGAATACGTTGGTGACCTGAGGGTAGGAAGAATTTCTTAGAGATGGCACAAAAGTACCAATCAAGACAAATAAATTGGACTTTATGAAAATGGAAAACTTCGAATGTTCAAAAGACAGCAGTAGAAAAACAAGGCCAAACCACAATTGGCATACATATATCACAATACATACAAATGACACAGGACTTGTTCTAAGACCATCTAAAGAAAGAACTCTTACAACTCAATAAGAAGAAAAACAACCCACTGAAAACCTAGGCAAAAAATTGAACACTTCACAAAAGATATATGAATGGCCAATATGTTCATGAAAAGATGCTCAACATTGTTAGTAAAATAATGAAAAAAGAAATGAATCAATCCTTCAACCAAAAAGAAACGAGTGGCAAAAGGAAAAGTAGAGGCATTGCTGTGTCTGGATATTTTCATGTGTTGGAACGACTTGTGCAAAACTCAAAGGCGAGGACAAGGAGACCCTGTGAGAGAATGTATACAAAGAGAGTAAGTTGGGGAGCTCATGCTAAAAGATGCTTCGATGTGTGTCCCAGGCCTGGAGCCTTTAAGGAAACCATTTAGACAATACCCGTGGCAAGCTGGACCCTTCAGAAGGGCGGAGCTCGGTTTTCTTGCAGTGGCCTCTACCTCCCCAGTTCTCTCTCACTCACCAGAGCATGTGCCTTCTGTCCTGGCCTTTGTCGCCATCCAGGGCTCTCTTCCTTGCTCCAGAAGTGAGATCACCTCTGGCTTCGAAACGGAAACTCCTGCGTAGAAGAAATAACGGGGAAATTAGCCAGGCCCTGAAATCAGATCAAGCCCTTGGTCCTCAGGAGGCGGGGGCACTATAGAGAGTGAAGGAAGAGGGAGTGTTTTGAAGAAAGAGGAAGTTGTAGGGATAGTCTAATGAAGCTGCCAATTCTACAAAACTCAGCCTATTTTGGGGAGCACCAGGAAGAGAAATGCAGCGACGTATATCAGAGGCTCCCCAAACATTATGTGAGGGAGCAGCCCTCTGGGGAGATTCTGAATTACGGGGAGACCTTACCCAGCGATTCCAGGTTCCTGTAGTTCTCCAACATCACCTTCCTGTACAAATTCCTCTGAGCAAGATTTAGCCATTCCCACTCCTCTTGAGAGAAATCTATAGCCACATCCCCAAATGTCACCAAATCCTGAAATGACATAAACGTATTTTTGTCCGACTGGTGTTCTTACCCTCACACGGGTGTAGTGTGAAGAGCTAAATCACTTATACTTCTGGAAAGAAATATTACATAGAGTGAAATTTTCTCATAGCATCTTAGGTTCTGAGCAACATGTATCAAGTAACTGCCGGATGACTTCTCTGTGCTTAGTGTTGATGCTGTCACGCTGAGTGTACGATTTCATTGTCTCTACTGACGGAGAAAAGACTTGTCACACGCAAAAATGGGCAATAACAACGCTCAACAGTCAAATGTAAAATAGTATGTTTTTCGTACTAAATGCTAGGGCGTTTCTCAATATGGGAAATCAAGACAGACTGTGGAAGTGAAGAAAGGCTTCAAGGGAAAGACAGGAAAATGAGTTAAGCCTTCCAAGATGTACATGGTCTAAACCAGCATTTCCCCAAACTCTACAGTGGAATGTTCCAGATATATCAATAGGACGTTCCAGACACATCTACATGTACATTCTATATATACACATACATATCCTATCCTATGAATGCTTATAATTTTGATTTTCTAAAATTAAATAAGATATGTAAGAAGATAATAAACAAGTTTTATAGTCATTTTGCAAAAATATAACTTAAACCAACGCACGCCATCACAGAGAACAAGCATAGGCAACAAAAGATTCCCTAACAGCATTTGATAACCCCACTGAGTCTCAAAGACAATGGGTAACCTATCTGCTACCTCAGAGACAAAATAAGAGTAATTTTAAGCTCTGCTAGTGAACTTAAATAGTGAACGTTTCCAATGCGATCATGAAGTGCATGAAAAACACCCACAGCTCTTGCCGGAGGGGCGCACACAGCTTTCCAAGAGCGAGAGAGTTTTGAATGTTACAGGACAGCTGGCTCGGCTACTGCGTGTTGAATTAAGGATCTTTTTTTTTTTAATATATATATTTTATTGATTTTTTTACAGAGAGGAAAGGAGAGGGATAGGGAGTTAGAAACATCGATGGGAGAGAAACATCGATCAGCTGCCTCTTGCACACTCCCCACTGGGGACGTGCCCGCAACCAAGGTACATGCCCTTGACCGGAATCGAACCTGGGACCCTTCAGTCTGCAGGCTGACGCTCTATCCACTAAGCCAAACCAGTTAGAGCAAGGATCTTCTTTATAACATGGGACAAGGCCTGGTATGTTTCCTAAAAATTCAAAACGTACATCCTTCCTAAGAGACGCACCTGCTCCAGCCTTACCAGGGCTGGCTGCTGGTCTCGGACATGCCCCTTAGGTGTGGCATGTCACAGCCATGCCCGCTCTTAGCTGGGCTGACGGACAGATGGCACTCGATGGGGCGCATCTGGACTGAGCTCGCTGGTCAGGTGCTGAAGGACCACCACACAGGTCAGTACCGAGCCCTGCTGGCGCCCGTGCCAGATCTCCCCTCAGCCCAGCAATGGACGGGGAGGCCCAAAGTGGCAGCGGCCTCTGGGACCCCAGAGGAGTAAGTTCTGAGATGTCTCCGGTCTTGGTGGTTGTCAAATTTGGTCTTTATTACGCCAGGGGTCTGAGAGGAGTTGCCTCTCAAAGTCTGAGCAAAGCAACATGGAGGAAGCTTTCCCTTTATACCAGTGGTTCTCAACCTTCCCAATGCCACGACCCTTTAATACAGTTCCTCATGTTGTGATGACCCCCAATTTCACTGTTACAAATTGAACATAATTAAAGCATAGTGATTAATCACAAAAACAATATGTATTATATATGTGTTTTCCGATGGTCTTAGGCGACCCCTGTGAAAGGGTCGTTCGACCCCCAAAGGGGTCACAACCCACAGGTTGAGAACCGCTGATGTAGGGGGAGCGAATTGCAGAAGAGCAGGGAGCCAATGCAAAGATTCAGAGACAGAGATGAGCCCAGGACATCTGAGGCACAGTAAGTGGCCAGTGTGGCTGGAGCGGAGACGCAGACGTGCAGAATGAGGTCTGGGAGCGCCCGGGGCTGGGTCACGGAGGCCCCTGCAGGCCGTGGTAAGGACACTGGGATCTCATTCCCAGTGGAGCGGGGGCCAGTGACGGTCTGGGAACAGGAACGAGATGAGTGCTCGGTCGTCACGGTGGGCACACGGCTCCACAGTGTCCTCCTCCCTCCACCCTCTTCAGCTCCTCACGCCCCATCATCCGTGTTCCTGACCCTCAGCGCACACGACCGCTCCCTACAGCCGCACAGTCGCTAACCAGTGACGGGGACACGGGCTTTCCTCCCTGGCGCTCTCTTTCCTCGTCTGTGCAGTGAGAGATTCGGACAGGCTCACCCTCAACTTTCTTCCTGGCTTTGCCGTTTCATGAGCCCGGATCTGTGCTGTCCAACACACCAGCTGCTCACCGCGTGTCGCTATTTACATGTAAGTCAGTTCACATTGACAGTCCAGGTCCTCAGTCCTGCCAGGACATACAAGTGCCCTGCAGCCACGGTCACCCCAGGAAGAGCCACTGGACAGTGCTGACTCGTGCTTCTGGCCCAGCTTCCTCTTTCCAACCATTCTCTATGTTTTCCCTTAGCAGTTTGCATGGTTTTATGGTTTAGATTTAACCTATACATTGTAAGGAAGAATTTTAGTTATTTATTTTTAAATATATTTTTATTGATTTCAGGGAGGAAGGGAGAGGGAGAGAGAGATGGAAACATCAATGATGAGAGAGAATCATGGGTCGGCTGCCTCCTGCACGCCTCCTACTGGGGATCAAGCCCGCAACCCGGGCATGTGCCCTTGACCGGAATCGAACCTGGGACCCTTCAGTCCGCAGGCTGACACTATCCACTGAGCCAAACTGGCTAGAACAGGAAGAAATTTTTTTTCTCTCTAAATGAATAACCCATCTTTTCTCCAGTAATTTCACATCATTACATTATACACTGAGTGGCCAGATTATGATAACCACCCCATCAGTACTTCACTAACACTTCCAAAAATACTGAATATTGAAAACTTCCTAAGCAAATACTCTCAAGGTTTTATTATTATTATTGTTACTAGAAGCCCGTTGCACAAAGATTCGCGCAATAGGCCTGCTTTCCCCTGGCTGCCGGCACCGGTTTTCCTCCGGCACCCGGGACCCAGGCCTTTGGTCCGGCCGCAGCGGAGAAGCCAAGCCTCTTCAGTCTTCACTCCAGCCAGCCTTCAGTCTTTGCTCCTCGCCCGAGTATGCAAAGTAACCGCCATCTTTGTTGGGTTAATTTGCATACTCATCCTGATTGGCTGGTGGGCGTAGTGGAGTGACATCAATTTGCATGTCTCTCTTTTATTAGTGTAGCTTTGCACAACCACTTCATTGTACTGGTGGGGTGGTCATAACAATCTGGCCACTCGGTGTATAGTAAACAAACTATAATCACGGACACGTGGCCTCCTGAGGGCCACAGGCAGCACTGAACTATTTCTTGGATAAAGGTGAAAATGCTGAGAAAAAGGGGACGCTCACTGGGCTTCGGGGGACCCCCTGACACTGGATTGGAGGATACGAGGGCCAGGTCCCTCATGGAGGGGACGCTGGTAGGCTGGTGAGTCTCAGGAGAAAACCAGACTGTTCCCACACAGCCTGACAAGCAGCACACGCCTGGGAGGGGAGGAGAGATGCTCCTTACCTGGGACATGGCTTTCGGAGCCTGAGGACGGATGGCGGCGCTTCCGGCCCCTCCCTCAGGCTCCTCTCCGGCAGAGGCGCAGCGTCTGGGGAAAGGCGAGCTGCGGAGGGAGAAAGGGACCCTGTGTCACCGGCCTGGACAGTCCCTCCCCCGCCCCCCACCGCAGACGCAGATGAGGGGTACCCTGAATCAGTCGCTCCCACGCGTACAACTCTTTTCCCCTGCGCTTTATTTATTTTTTAAAAATATATTTCTATGCCCTGACCAGTTTGGCTCAGTGGATAGAGCTTCGGCCTGCGGACTGAAGGGTCCCGGGTTCGATTCCGGTCAAGGGCATGTGCCTTGGTTGCGGGCACATCTCCGGTGGGGGGTGTGCAGGGGACAGCTGATCGATGTTTCTCTCTCATTGATGTTTCTAACTCTCTATCCCTTTCCCTTCCTCTCTGTAAAAAATCAGTAGCCAAAACCGGTTTGGCTCAGTGGATAGAGCGTCGGCCTGCGGACTCAAGGGTCCCGGGTTCGATTCCGGTCTAGGGCATGTACCTGGGTTGCGGGCACATCCCCGGTGGGAGATGTGCAGGAGGCAGCTGATTGATGTTTCTCTCTCATCGATGTTTCTGACTCTCTATCTCTCTCCCTTCCTCTCTGTAAAAAATCAATAAAATATATTTTTAAAAAATCAGTAAAATATATTTTTAAAAATACATATCTATATCTATCTATATAGATATAGATATAGATATATTTCTATTGATTTCAGAGAGGGAGATAGAAACATCAACGATGAGAGAGAATCACTGATTGGCTGCTTCCCTGCACACTCCCTGCTGGGGATCTCTCCTTCCTCTCTGAAATCAATAAAAATTTTTAAAAAATCGCCGTAACTGGTTTGGCTCAGTGGATAGAGCGTCGGCCTGCGAACTGAAGGGTCCCAGGTTCGATTCCGGTCAAGGGCATGTACCTGGGTTGCGGGCACATCCCCAGTGGGAGATGTGCAGGAGGCAGCTGATCGATGTTTCTCTCCCATCGATGTTTCTGACTCTCTATCTCTCTCCCTTCCTCTCTGTAAAAAATCAAAATATATATATATTTTTTAAAAGTTTCTAAAAATTAACCAGTGAAGGCATCAGAAAGTGGGACAAGTCTCTCTCTCTTCCTCTCTTCCTCCAAAATCAAATTAAAAAAAAAAAAAAAAGTTGTTTCCCACTAACCCGCCGCCTTGGAAGGTAAAGCGGCTCACTCAGCGGTCAGACACCTGTGAGCACCGCCCCTCCCTGGGGCTGGGGACCCGCCGCAACCTGCTCCCCACCAGCCACAGGCAGGACCGTGGGACCAACTCACGGAGCACGGAGCGCGGAGCCTGCCCGCCCGTGTGACCATCAACACTGGTCACTCCGCCGGTCACTCCAACAGCGCACAGTAGGTCTCCCTCCCGC